TAAATCCAAACAGCAGCTTTCGACTTACGCTTTTCTCAAACAAGGAAAGAATACTGTGATCCACTAAAAATTTTCTCAGGTGCCCGACAACAGCTTCCAAAGCTTTGAGAACTTTATAACCTTCCCCTTGTAATTCAACAATCCTTTCATCGGAACTGGCATAGATAGGCATTTCATCTGCAAACACCAACAGAATGATCATCATTTGTCCTGAAGTAGAAAATGACTCGTGGCACACAATGGACTTACAAAACCAACCAAAAGTACACACGAGATACAATTCCAGATTTAGTTCCTGAAATAGTATTCAGAAATATGAGAAATTTTCTTCTCCTATTCCAAATGCGATTATGTCAATACCCTTGCCAAGTTACCACCATAGAAGGGTTGCATGAATATTTTTTTTAATATGCAGGCTCAATCTCGTACTTAGGGTTCATAGGCAAAAGAATAAGAAATCAGAGCATGTAGCTTTCCCAAGCATGCAATAGCACAAATACAAAGCATATAAACATGATATTGTCATATAAGGATATTTTGATACCGCTAGGAAGCACCCGGACAGAAGCAGCAGAATTTTCCTGGATAGACTTTATAAAGGAGCCTTGTTTTCCTATTAAGCTCATAGCTTGTGTCGATGCCACCAACAACCGGATGGCACAAAACGCTGTCCCAGCAGCTGCAGTGGCTTGACCATCACCATCATTCTCAGGCAGTCCATTAACACGTTTAAATATTCTTATTACGGCATCCATTGCTGGGGACAATGTCGTTTCAGGTTCTTCCTTACCAGTTACCAAAACCTGTATTATTTTCCAGGTCAAAATCATGAGTATTTGGTTTAAAGATCAACTAGAACACAAACACAAAAGAAAAGGAGGAAAAAAGAACAAAAAAAAAGAGAGAGAAAGAAGGAACGCATGCCAATTTAGAAGTAGAGAATAAATCTTCGAGACATAAAACAAAGAAATCTACGCAATAATGAAGACGTGGGAAATGACTCATATAAAACACGAATCAACACATCCATGCAAGTGTACTAGCAAAGAAACCACAAGTTACAAATCCAATTTGAAACTTTCGACCAGACTCTTCAAAACTAAAAGAGGGAAACGAAAAATCTTTGAAACTGTATTTTGTGAGTCAATGGAGCATAAACCATCCAATTGTTGTTTGCAACAGATGAAAATAAGATCTATCAGGCATGGAAACAATACAAGTCTAGAGTAAACTAGATAAATTACTAACGTGATCATTAAAAATAAAAAACAGATAAACTCCCATACATCCAGTAACCTTATTCTCAGTATCAAGAACCGAAGTTAGAAATGTCTGAATAGTGATGCCAGCCAAAAGTGAGATATTAGGTGGGTTCTTGGTAAACTTGCTACAGGGTGAAAGAGAACCTAATTAACTACTACTCGAAACTCCCACAAGTAAAGGTATTTATATTCCTCATAGTTCTCGTCCAGGAAAATAGATCACAACAGCTTCTGGTAAATAAAGCAAGTTATGATATTCAAAAAACCTCCATAAAATATGTACTCTATCATTTGGCTTATAGGTAACACAACGCATACATTTAAAAAATGAAATAAAACCCCAGCTTTTAAGATGTATTAGAAGGTTATTACTCAAATAATAACAACCTAACTCCCAATCACCTAAACTTAGGAAAAAAAAAAAAAAGATCAAAATTAGGACTCCATGGTAGAGCCCTGTATATGGATCAATAGAAAAACTGAACATTTAGGCTCTGAAATTCCATGGAATGGGCAACAAATTGCTAAGAACAAAATTACGCAAACCTTGTAGTCTGTCAATGTCAAGCTGATATCATTTAAGCTATAACCATGACTCCAGTTCATGATTCTAAAAGCTCACCTCGAGGAATGGTCATAGATATCCAAACAATTTCAGTTAAAAACAGAATAATCTTTACAGCACATTTACCCACAATAATCTTTAACAACTACAAACCCTAGGAAAATATCATTCACAGTGCACGCCACAAAAATAATCTTTATAGCAAGCAAACCCATAATAGAACTCCTATATCGAAATTTCACCATAACCCTGATAAATGGATCCACAAGTAAAAAAATTCCCAACCATCATACGCAGTATTTGCTTATACAGAGATAAGGGTATATAGAATTACAATGCGGTCCGGAGAGGTTATTGGGCCGTCTAGAACCCGAATCTTCGCACGGGTCTCCTCAACGAGCTTCTTAATGAGATCCCCTTTCCGCCCGATTATGCCACCTACTTTCAAAACCGGCACTACTATCCGGAATACCGTGTAACCAGGCCAGCCCGGCCATTTCGCCTTTATCTCCACCAATTCCTTATGCTTCTCATCAGAACCCTTCGTGTTAGCCGCTGAGGGAGCTTCATATTCCTCACCATTGTTTCCTGCCGCACCACCGGCGACTAATTGTTCCAAAGACGTGGAGTTCGTCACGGCGGGGTCGTCCTTGCTAACGCCGTTGTCTGCGGCGGGCTGAGCTGAGGCCATCTACCCGAAAATATTCCTCTTGTTGGGCTCTGGAGCGCGCGAGGGTTTTGAGAGAAGGGTTCGGTGAGATTGTGAGAAAACAGGAACGAAGAGAGAAACTACCCTGAGGATGATTGTACACCTAAAATAAACTTCTGGTATGTAGTTAAGGATTGTGTATTTATTAAATTAAATACTAGTACAAATACCGAATTTTTAAAATAAATTTAAAACGTATTTCTACTTTTATATATAAAATTTTAAAAGCTTATTTCTGAAATACGTGTTATTAATAAAATTAATTTTATATATTATTTATTGCAAAAAAACTCATTTTCAAAATGCGTGTAATAAATAAAATTATTTTATAATTTATTTTTGTAGAAAATAGTTTTTTAAAAATAAAACGTATTTTAAAAATACGTTCCATTTTGCCCTAAAATCAATTTTGCTCTAATTTTGCCCTTAAAACGTATTCTCAAAATACGTATTTCAAGAATATGTTTTACTGGGCAGAAAAATAAAAAGAACACACTGTTTGTCGGGATCCATTCGACAATCAAATATACATGTTCGACAAACTAATATCAATCCATTCGTCAAATAACACATACACTATATACAAAAACTCAACCACAATATATAAAATATCAGTACACATAATCCAATATACAAACATGTCAAAATAGACAAACATGTCAAAATATCAGTACACAGAATCCAAGAAAAAAACAAACATGTCCACAAAATTCCCCGAATACAACACAAACTAACTAGGAGTGAATGGATCCCTAGTTCTGCACTATCGGGATCCCTTTTGGGGCTTGGTCGTGAATAAGAAGAAGTTGTTGTCGTTGATAGGCGTGACAACTTCTTCTTCTTCACCTGAGTAATTATTTTTTTTAAAAAAAAATCACAAATTCGACTGGACAATAAATAAATAATCATTTTTTTGTTAAGTAAACAAGTCTCACCTTCTTCGTCCTCCTCAAGCCAAGTGTTGGCAGCGGATTCGCGGTCACGGTGTCTTCTACCTCCACCAATGTTGGCAGCGGGTTGATGCTTCGCCCGGTGTGATTGTGTCCTCTAGGATGGGACGTAGTCCTCCTGAGATAGAACTTGACTGGACGACGCCCCTTGTGTAACCTCTTGGCCTCCAACAGTTAGAGAAGTGTTTGTCCCATTTTTGTGGTTATTTTCGTCAGTGTATTGTGTGTCGTTTCCTCCATTTTAGGTCATTTCTTAGGATTTTCCGGTCCGTCTAGTCATTTCTTGTGTTTTTATCTTTGAATTGGTGTGTTTAGTATTTTCTTTGTTTTCTTTCCTATTTTTTCTTGTTTTTCGTGTTTTTCCGGTTGTGGTGGTTTCAGGTTTTAGGTTGATCGGATTGGTAAGCTTTCAGACGAGAAGGGAAGTGTGTTGTTCGAGCATTTTTTCGTGGGATCCAAACATACGAAGGTCGAGTTTCCAGCTCGGGCGGTACCCGAGCGACGTAGCGGAGCACGCAAGCTGTAGAAAAAGCCACATTTTTGGAACTGCCATAGCGGCGTTTTGGAAGCTTAGCGGGACACAAACTAACAGCTAAGAAGGCTTAGCGGCGCTAAGGTTTGTTTTGTGACCAGCACGATTTTCATGGAATTTGAATTGGGGAATGATATTAGATCGAGCTAGGCAGTGTTTACTCATCTTTTGAACATTCCAGACTTAGTTTTTCACTACCAAACCATATTTTTCTCTTGCTTTTAGCTTGGATTGAATTGTGGAGAGTAAAAACTCCTTTTATAGCTTTTGGATTTGGATTTCTCGTTGCTTTCTCGACATTGGATTTATATTAATCATAAGCACTTCTTCTCATTTTGTGTGATGATGATTTCTTGGGTTGATATGAATGTTTATGTTGGAATAGTGATGAGTAGCTAATTCAATATCTAGGGTTAGGGGATAATTGTTCCGGTTCACTTTCGTTTGTGTTAATTGCTCAATCTAGACAAGTTATGTTAAACCTAAGGTTGAATGCTTTATCACCATTTTAACCTACTTAATCGTTTTTAGAACCGAAAGGGGAGAAATCGATCAATCTCGGCTTGTTTAGAATAGACTTGTTCGGAAGCGTATTGTCTATGTGTTAATGGATTCAATAATTGTTCATTTATGCTTATTCTCTTGTTGCGTGAGTTATTGAGAATGAATCTCTAAATGAATTGGTTGTTGCTTGTCCGTTAGCTGAGTAGTTGATTCCCCGTTAAATGTATTGAGAACTAGAAACGATTGTCTCCGACTCCCTAGTCCATTTATACCATTTGAATTTGTGTTTGAGCTGTGAATTTGGAATAACTAGCTTATTTTTATAGTTCGTAGTTGATAAATCAAACCAAACCAGTCTCATTAGAGTGTTTAGGACCTTGTTTTCTCCTTTCGTGTGATTGATTATATGTACAAAATCATCCGGCCAACCTTCCTTGAGCGACGACCCGGTGGTTGAATCCTTTGATTTAACTCCGGTAAAAATTACTACAACAAATTGGCGTTGTTGTCGGGGAATGTTTAGGACTTATTTTTTGTGCCTATTTATTTTGTTTTCAGTGTTTCTCTTATTTTCGTGATTTCTTGATTTTTCGTGTTTCTTTTTGTTTCGTTTTCTGATCTAGTCGTAGTGATTTTCTTTTATTTGTTTTACTTGTTCTTTTATTGTCTATCTGGTGCTCGTGACGGTTTGTTTTGTCTTTGTGTATGCGAACCAGAAGTGGACGTGTTCATCTCCTATCGACAAACCGTTCAACGAGAGCCTGAGAGAGCTACTGGAAGAGCTTACTCTCGAATCACACGAAGGAGACGAGCACTCTCCGAAATCGTCCGAAGGCAGCAACTTCGACATGGGTGAACAACAGCAACAACCGTCCCGTAACACCCTCCGAACCTTAGCCCAACCAGTTATCGGGCCAGTCACATCATGCATTTGTTTGTCGGATGTTGCACGAAATTATGAGCTCAAAATGATTCACTACAACCAACTACCGGCATTCCATGGTCTCCCAAGAGAAAACCCACTTAACTTTGTTCGAGAATTCTACAATGTCCTCAATACCTTACCTGTCAACGGGCTGAATGACGAGCAGTAGAAGATGAGGTGCTTCCTAGAGACACTAAAAGACCAGGCCAAGGCCTGGTTCGTGACGCTTGCACCGGCATCTCTAACCACCTGGACCGAAGTGTACACGAAGTTCATTGGGAGGTACTACTCCCATCAAAAGACCCAGGAGCTCCGGTCACAGATCGTCTCATTTACTTAATTACCAAGTGAGCCTCTTCACGAAGCTTGGGAGAGGTTCAAGGATCTCCAGCGGCAGTGTCCTCATCATAATCTTTCATCGGGGACTATTGATGAACTGTTTCTACGACTCCCTCAATCAAAACTTGCAATATATGGTTGACAATGCTGCGGGAGGAGACATCGGTGCAAAGATGGCTGGAGAGATGTTTAAAATTTTTGAGACGATGAGTGCTAACTCGTCTCAAAAGAGAAATCGAGGAAAGAGGGTCGTATTCGGTGAAGTGTCTTCTGCTCAAGATATGATGGCCCATCAAATAGCCGAACTCATAAAGCAAATGCGGCTAATGAATGCAAGAGGAGGCCAGTCAGTGCAGACCATGGCGGTAGACACATGCGGGGCATGTGGAGTTCAGGGGCATAGATCCGAGGTGTGTCCATCAGCATTTGACCAGGATTTTGGAGAACAGTGTGCAGACGTCAACGCCCTCCAAGGATATCAGAACCGGCAGCCCATCGACCCCTTCTCCAACACGTACAACCCCGGGTGGAGAAACCACCCACACTTCTCGTGGTCCAACAACAACAACACCCTCCAGCCACCTCGTCCAAACTTCACCCAACAGCAACCCCATCCAAACTTCATGCAGCACCAACCCCGTCCAAACTCCATTCCCCGTCCGAACTACCAACAACAACAACAACAACAATAACAAACCCAAGGGTCTGGATCGAGCTCGTCGAACCAAGATGACAAGCTAGACAAGATCCTTCAGTTTATCACAAACCAGGATTCATTGATTAAGCGTCTCGAGACGCAAGTGGGCCAGCTTGCCACGAGAGTCGGAACATGGAGGCCGAGTCAGACAAGGGGAAACTTTCGAGCCAGCCCGAACAAGCAAAGGCAATCACTATGCTAAGGAGTGGGAAGGAAGTTGACAATAAAGTAAAAAATGCCCGAGCCTGATAACCCTAAGCCAACCGACCAGCCCAGAGAAACAGAGAAGAGTGCGAAGAGCACAGAGGTCGACATAGGAAAACAGATAGAGGGTTCATTGCTTCACAAGTCCCCAAACCCATACAAGCCATGCATTCCTTTCCCAAGCTGACTTAGAGATGAGAAGCATGAGCAGCAATTCTGGGACCTATACAATATGCTCTCGAAGGTCAATGTCAACCTACTACTTCTAGATGTGATAAAAAACATGCCATCTTATGTGAAGTTCTTCAAGGACTTGGTGACAAAGAAGAAGAAATTTGGTGATGGAGAGAAAGTGGTGGTTTATGAGGCAACGAGTGTCATGCAGCATGATCTTCCAAAGAAAGAACGAGACCCCGGGGGTTTTTTGATAAAAATTGCTCTCGGGAGCGGAAAAGAGGCTTCGGAGATGCTTGATCTCGGAGCGGGAATCAACCTCATGTCGTTCTCTATCTTCCAGAGGCTCGGTCTCGGAGACTTGAGACCCACTCATATGTGCTTTCAGTTGGCCGACCGTTCGATCCGATACCCCAAGGGGTGGTGGAAGATGTCCTTTTTCCAGTAGTGAAGCTCATAGTCCCGGTGGACTTTGTAGTTCTAGATGTGGGAGACGTTCAAGAGAATGGGAAGGATCACACTATCCTTCTCGGCAGACCGTTTATGGCCACCACCAACACTCTCATTGATGTGAGGAATGGGACCTTGAACATGACGTTCATCCAAGTGTCCTACAGTAGTTTCCCAATGCTCATTACCCGTCAACACGAATCGACT